ATACATTTTATTTTGTACAAATAATACAAAAATATACTACTTGCTGGTGCTCGAAATTCGTGACGTAGACAGTTTAAATTAGATTTTATTCTCATGTAACTTTGTTAAACGAATAGATAATAACTAGTACCCTATAATATATAATATTTACTTTTCATCTTGAATCTTAACATATATCATGTAGCTATGGCCGTGCGTATCCATTTACCAGTTATGCGAACATAAGCTGTTACCATAGAAATATTAGAGACACTATATATATATATTATTATTTCTATGGCTGTTACACTCAGGGGCATAGGAACGAAGTATTATAGAGGGAGCAGTAAAAAGCATCGTCGCTAGTTTTTTTTTTAAATTTCTATAATTAAGAGAGAGAGAGAAAGTCTAAGATAAAGAAAGAGAGATTGAGACGGGGACAGGAAAACGGTGATACGGTGTGTATGCGAGCGGGAAACGGGGTACAATTAGGTCGTGCGAGATGGTGTGCAAGGGGATGGGAGGTGGGAGGCAGGGGGAGGGAGGTTGAAGGCAGGGGGAGGGAGATGGGAGGTAAGGGGGGTGGAAGTGAGAGACAAGGGGAGTGAAGTGGGAGGCAGGGGGAGGGAGGTGAGAGGCAGGAGGGAGGGAGGTGGGAGAGAAGCACCCCCCGCCCCTCTAATTAAACTTGGGAAATCCATGCTCATATGTTGAAATCTATGAGCTATCAATGTCATTCAACGTCAATTCAACGTCAATGTCATTCATTAACTTGTATTTCAATTATTATTATTGTTCTTGTTATTAGAATATAGAGATTAGGTGGGTGCGAAAGTGTAACTGATATATTTGTTCGAATTGGCTACGAAAATCAAACAAGAATAAAGAAGACTTAAATGTATAAGACGGTTTGCTATGCACAAATGAATTTATCAGCAGAACACCAGACATCAGATGAGCCCTGTCGCTCTGCGGCACTTGTTATGATATATCAGCTGTGAGTAAAATGGTAAAAACAATTAAATCTATAAACTACTTATCATGTTTTTACTCTTGAATATTGCAGAGTGGTATCTGACTCCTGCCTCAAATCACCTGAATACTGGTTGTAAACTTGCACAATATTATCATGTTTGATACTACAGAGGAACAGTTTGACCAGGTTTGTATTCATGCTGTATGTAATTATACTAGGCTATTTCAGTATTTGTATCAGTTGCTTTTGCTAATTGGCTAAGTTGTGTCAGTATGTGTGTGTACATACTGTTCTTTTAGGACTTATGACTAACTTGATTATAAAGTCGAAACTGTGTATTTGTATGTATGTTAGCAGAGATGAATATCAGCTCAGTGTACTAAATAATGTAATGCTATCACTCCATTTTCTTATCTAGTTCATCAACATGGTTGCCCCACTGGTTAAGAATGTCCGAATGATTGAGTACATGAGGAAAATTCACCGGAAGACATCCCCTGCTTTTCTGGAGTCAGTACAATTTCACAAACTTTTGGAATCGCAACGAAAACACGTGGAAACGGACAGTGCCAATATCTTTGTTCACCTACGCGAGTTCTGCACCGAGTTGAAGGCATATCGGGTAGAAGCCAAAAAGCGGAAGTTGGATAGCGACGACGAGAGAACGGGGACTGACACCAATGGCGTCGCCTCGTCGCAGAATGACGACGAACCTGTCTCAAAGTCGTTCAAGGTGAACGATGCATACGATCTCCCCCAGGTAAATGCATCCGTGGAAAACACTGCTAACGGCTCAAGTCCAAACGTTGCAAGGGATTCACTTTGCGATAGGATAGAGTCGACGAGTGTGGAAGGAAACCATGAAGACGTTGCATCGTCATCAACTTGTAATCAGGCGGACTATGTTGAAGTGTTGCATAGCGTTGCTGGACCGTCATATGCTGCCATCCGTGTGGAGGCTGCCACTGCGACGACGGGAAAATCCGAAAAGAAAAAGGTGTCTGATCGTCAGGTCCGGAAGTTCGAAAAGTTATTGAAGGTGAGTGTAAAGTAGATTTATTTAGGGAAATCCACGTGCCGATGTGCCTCCGATTAAGCCAAAACAAAATATATGTGTGGTTACCGTTACATGCCGGAAAAAAATAGGGTAGGTAGGGAAAACATTTTATTTTCTTGAATATTTATTTAGGCGAAGCGCAGTGTCCGAAGGATGTGGCGTTGATGCCTTTTGAAGCAG